AAGATTGGAAAGTTTGGTGTATATAGGTGCTACTGAAATGGAGATTTCGGACTTGGCGTATGAGAGAAAAGTCATTTTGAGAAAATGGGCTTTAAAGATTTAGCAGCAGCCAATGAGATTGTGCATTCATGTTTTTGCCTGCTATGTCTAGCCTTAATTACATTTTATTGTCCTTATGAATAGGTTGACAACGGTATTTGCTGAATAATTACGTTGCAGTGTTGCTAATGCTAATCATTACTAGGCCTACAGTATCTCTCTTTTCTTGTGTTTTTCTCTTGAAAATAAATCTGTAAGCTTGGCACATTTGGCAGCATCCTCCTCTAATGCCTTTATTTTTTTCAGCCTCTCTTGGCCTTTTCCTCAATCCTCACTGACCCATACAGTTACGGTAGGCCAGCCCAGCTCCCGGTATCCTACTACCTAGGAAAACATTTTGAAAGAGATGGGCTATGGACCCTACCAACTCTATTTGGAAGAGGAGTAGTGAATTATCTTGCATGGTGCAACCCATGCATGCAGAGGCTGCCCACTGTGGTGTTAGAATGTGGAACTTGTGTTACCTTTAAGAGAAGATAGACAACGTAACAAGTGAAAATTCCTGGACTAGCAAAAAAGTGAAGCGGCCCACCGGTAATTATCTCGATTACCCACCCCGGGCCTGGGTCAAGTGACTTAAACTGCAATTCATTGGCTGCCAGCTAGAGACAGAAGAGGGTCAATATAGACACCCCCTATGTTAAAGTCCCCAACTTTACAGCAGAAAAAAAGGTTTAAAGCCTCATACAAAAACTGGTTTTGGCCTATAAAGAACATTTTGCCCTTCATGACAACTGAGAGAGGGGTATAATTAAAATCCGTTTTAGTTATATTAAGCCTTAAATATTTGCATAATTAAGGGTGTGGTCACTTGAGTGACAGGTGGATTGCTGCTGCTATCATTACTAGCTGTTTATCTGTTAGCTGTCACATCAACTCGGTTAATCCAGCCTCTTTGCCCATTTTGGTTATGCGGAAGTGTCTCGCTGGCAAGATGGCAACGGCCGGCTCTTCATCGGTGACATCACAGACACTACATCCATATGTTTTTTACAGTCTTTGATGACAACTTAAACATGGTGTATACGTAACTCTCACACGTAACTCTTCCCAAAGTTTCTTTTAAAAAAGTTGAAGTTTAAATTTGTCAAGTGGCCGATTTTAAATAAAATTCAGTCGGCTCTCACTTACTCCCGCAGGTTCCCACAGAGCTTCATTTCCTCAGTGCATGCCTTCAGTAACAATAATAACCATCAGCCCACAGAACATGAACAAACATGCAGCACAAAGACGCTCTCCGGAGCAGGCCCATTACCCGCCATCATCAGTAGTGGGGTGTGGGGGGTTATAGAGACCGCAGAGAGACATGCCGATCTGGACGCAGAAATCACATCATTCTCCCTGCTGAAGTGGAGGTCTTTTTACATTATTCAAATGGCCAATCAGCCCTCTCTCTCAGGAAAGTCAAATGCTTCTTTCATGGGCCTGATGAGGCATAATGACCAGAGGACAATTTACACTCTTGGGGCCCAAAATGGGATTGAGTCAGTCCTCTGGGATGTGTAAGGCCCGTTAATTATCTCAGTTTGTGACTGGGCACCTGGACAAGGCTTTAATGCAAAAAAAAAAAAAAAAAAAAAATAGCCGTAACACACCTCCAGCCACGATGCAATCACTGTATGTCAAATAAGAGTCTCTAAAAGCCCATTTTTAAGATCCCATGTAGCTCCCCTACAGTCTCCAAAATCATTAAAAGTTGAAATTTGTAACTTTTGCAAATGACCTGTTGGACTATTTTGGTACCATATTCTAAAATGGAATGGGAAATGAGATTAAATATTTTGCTAGGGTTGCAGAAAGTAATTTCTGAGAAGTTATGGATGGATGAATAGATAGATGCATAGCTAGATAGATCCATTAATTCAGATAAGTAGACATTTCTACTACCTTCTCTACCAACTTTTACTTTATTTGCATTTACATTCACATTTATTTACAGAGTCACTAAAGTGACAGGGAAGAGTTAAGACCGGAGTAAGGCTTGCTGAAAATTCCTATTTGCCACCACATTATAACACTGAAAAAAGTTATGTTAAATAAAATTCTACTATTTGAGGACCACTGTCAGGAAAATAGTGAGCACAGGAAATATACGGCTCTTACTGCAGTTACTGGCAGGAAGTAGAAGAAAGAGGCATGATCATTTACGAGCTTATGAGAGACATGAAGACAAGAGTAAACTCCGGATGATCAGAAGTAATGGAAAGTGTGTAATTGAATAAATAACCCACAAGAGAATAGAACCAGAATCTGTTGTTTTAAAAAGAACTGCATCCACCACACTTACACATACACACACACACAATTCTGAGAACTTAAAAATACAATGCATTCTCATCCCAAGGCGTCATCTAACTGAGAATTTTGAACTTGCTTCAATATCCAACGCTTTAGGCACCCTTTAGCGTCATGACGCTATCCTAGGGCGTCATCTAACTGACGCTTTACCTTTAAAGCGTCCTTAAACCAGTTAGATGACTCGGGTAGGTTTCGGTCTGGGGTAGGGTTAGACCACTAGGAAAGCATCATCTAACTGACGCTAAAGTGTGCCTAAAGTGTCGGATATTGAAGCATGGTCTAAATGCTTGAAAAGAATTGGCTGAAAAATAACATTTTGATGATACTATGTGGTTTTCAGGATGGTGGGACTTTTTTGCAGCCCATTACTGTGCTTACTAAGCTTTGAGTGTACTTTTGGGATCGGTCCCCACTACGGGAATGATTCCCACCTACTTTGAGAAAAAGATGTCTGTCTTTTTTTTTTTTTTTTTTTTTTTTTTGGGTGTACTATGGTATTCTTTAATCTGGCTATAAATTTGTAAGCATAAAAAGGGAGCAAGATGGTCTGTTTTTTTCACAGTCTGCAGATTTCCAATGAACATTATGAGAGTATCTATCTCCATGCAAATGGCACTGCCTGTAAGCTGGACGGCAGAAAGAAAATGGGAAATTTTGTTAAATTTATTGTAGAGAGGAAAACCCCTTGAGATGTGACATCTCATTTCCGAGGGGACCTCAAGAATGCTTCAAAAACATTCATACTAACAAAACAAAGGCTCTCCATCACACCAAAACCGTCCATATCTTCCCCAATCCAACCATTAGATATTAGACAGTAAACAGTTCATTCATATAAACAATTTAGTAAAATAATAAATATATATAATAAAGTAATTAATTAATTAACCACAAACTATTAAGAAGAGACATCTTAAACTGGTGAATAGAGGAGATCAATCTAAAAGACCTAGGTAAACCATTCCAATCAGAAGGGGCTTTACATTTAAAGGCTCTCCTCACACTTTCTTTGGTACCTATGTTTGGTACGGAAAAGAAAATATGGTCAGTGTCTCTTAGGCTGTAGGATGTTTGGTATGGAATCAAGTATTGTTTCTGATGGGTAGTTTGAGAAAATGCATTTGTGAACAAACTGCAACCAACGATACGTCTAGCATTTAGTGAAAGAAGATTCAATGACTGATACATTTGACAGTGATGAGTTCTTAATGGGCAACTCAAAACAAATCTGCAGAGACTATTATAGATCACATTCAAAGGTTTAAGATTGGTTACGGCTGTGCTCTGATAAACAACATCCGCCTAATCATTTACAGGCAATAATAGTTGAGTTATAATTTTTAATCTAATCTGTTTTGTAAAACAATTAATTGAGCTGTATAACATTCTTAAGTTACAGTTTATGGGCTTTGTTTACAATATAATTGATATGAGGTCTGAAAGTAATTCGGGAGTCGAGCCAAAGGCCCAGATATTTAAATTCATCAGTCTTCATTAAAGGTGTGCCATCCAGGTATTTAACCTCAAAAGAATTATTTTGCTTATGGAGTGCAGATCTGGTTGCAAAAAAAATAAAAAATAAAATAAAAAAAAAAATGCTACAAGACTTCTTTTTTATTATTAAATAAAAGGAGATTAGAATAGAACCATGTTTGAATATATGATTGAATCAAATTGAAGTGAGGTTTGTATCTTAGATATATCGTTTTTAGATTTATATACAGTATATCTGTGTCATCTGCATATAGTTGATCTGCATATAGTATCTGACAGCCTGAGCATATTTGTGGGAGATCATTTATAAAAATAGAAAATAAAATGGCCCTTAAGGAACAACCAATAGCATATAGTTTGTCAAGAAGTATATAATCATTGACCATGTCAAACGCCTTAGTGAGGTAAATAAAGATTGCACCAGTAAACCTGTTATTACTGTACATTGTGCATATATATATATATATATATATATATATATATATTGCAAGGGCTGTTGTAGAGTGAGGTCTAAAACCAGATTGATTTGGAGTCAAGAGGGAAAGGTCATTAATATATTAAGACAGTTGCTTAAAAATAAGCTTTTCAAATATCTTTTATACATTACTGATTATGGAAATTGGCCTATAATTGTTCACATCAAGTGAGTCACCACCTTTGAGTAGTGGTATTACTTTCCCAAATTTCCACATTAATGTAATTACACAATATTCTTAAAAAAAATCCTATAATTATACAAGACTTATGAATGATTTTAATTGAAAGATTTGAATTAAGATTTGAAATATGAAAAAAAAATATCATGCTTCGTGTCATTGACAAATGCGATCTCATCTGCAAACTCACAAATGGCATACACACACACATAAATACAAAAAGTATTTGCCATCCAAAATGTCATTTTTTTATACAAACCTACACTATTTTATACTTTTTTGAAAGGCACAGCAGTGTACAAACAAACCTGTTTGTGAGGTGATGAAAGAAATGTTTATAAAGATGGAAGTACACACTGTAAACCTGATGTTATTTAGATGTGATATGTTGCAAGTTAGTGAAATAGTTGGGCATTAGACTAAATGTGGCATTTTGTGTGGTTGCCCTCACAGAGTACATGGATTTTTCCCCGTTCCTGAGCTACTTCAATTCAGGTACAGTACGGTCTGACTAGAATGATAGGAGAGCTAGTTGTGCTTGTAGCATTAGCAGTATAGAAATATTTAATGTTATTGTCTAGCTGTGTAGTAATATTAGTAGTAGTGAATGTATCCAGTTATTTTTTGCTTTATGTTTATTTTTATACAGTTTATTTTGCTTTATGTCCACCCACCACATAGTCAGAATAAAGCAACTCTATTAAGGTCTCTTGATTTTAGCAATATCGATCCCAACCGCTGTAAATATCCCTGCCTTAAAGAGCGTTAATGAATAAAATGGCTTCTTCATTTTCGGCTTATTGGAGGGCATGCATTGACTCTCTTAATTACTGGGGAGAAGAAATTGGTTGTGCATGCCTTATCCTTTAATTGTTTTTCCCACAGCCAGTCCTTAATTGGGACTCCCTTGTGTTTATCGATTCACTTTGATGTGCTTTAATTTGGATGACGTGCTATATATATATTAGTTTGCAGAGGGGTTCTGTCCAGCTCTCTGAATGTGGTTTATGTCAAGGCTGTGTATGCGCATGAGTGCAGTCACACTCATCAAAGCTGGAGGTATTATGCTGTGAGGGAAATTTCACAGCAGGTAAAGAGCTGCAGGATCAAATAGGCCCCTTAGTCCAGCACCACACATTAGCTGCTGTCTGAACGGACATCCACTGATTTGAGCAGTTAAACGTCAGTCTCCTGCTGTCCCCATTTTCTTTGTGAGTTATACAGTAGTGCTTTAAAACCACCAGAGCATCTAGTGACAAGGAATCAAAACCGAGGAAGCACATTTAAATGCATGCATTGTTATATTTAAACACATGCAATTTTTTATATATTGATCAGACTTGAAACTTTTCAGTTTGAAGCTTTTCAACTTAAAACGCTTTGTGGCAGCATGCAGACATAGGCAAGACGGCTCACATGCCTATTGGCTGTCCTGCAGCAACTGCAGCAGCCTATCGAGAGAGGTTGTAACGCAAATTTGATGTTGCCCAGATAGAGAGGAAAAAAAACAAAACAATAACTGTTACGTCAAGGTGTTGGAGGAAATCAGGCACTGAGACGATGGCACACTTTCCCGTGTTTAATAAAAGCAACAGTTACTCAAACGCCACACTCGTCCGCATACATGTAGATCGTGTGGGAAAAAGTATACAAAACAAAACATCCAACTTTGGTCACACCACAAAAAAGAAAATAAAAGAAAGAATACAAAAGTCAGCAGAGCGGTTATCTTTCCTCCTCACCCGTCAAATCAAAACTGACACACATGCACATGCGCAGTTCTCATATTACATTATTAACATAAAATCACAAAGTGACCGTTACAAGGTCATTGGTGACGTCAGATCCAATGGGATCACTACGTCACCTCCCACCAAAGCAGGCTTGGCCTGGGCCTATAAATATATCTCGATGGGCTGATATAATCTAAAGCTCACGCATTGCTGGATCCGGAGTGAAGAAGCGGCGCCGTCTGAGAAAAAGCTTTCTGCGGGACGAGCCTTTGCAACTGAAGCTGCTGGCCTTCATCTCGCCGCATTCAGTCGCTGTTCCTGCTATGCTTTCCGCTGTTTATACCCTTTTACTTCGCCGAGTGAGCAACGGGGACCACCATTTCATCTGGGTTTCCTGCCTGGGTAAGGATCATGCAGCTCTTGCGGTCGCTGATGGTGGTCCCTCTGCTGGACTGTGAACTAAGATGGCGCTACCTTCTAAAGCTTGCCACACTACTTCTTTGCGCATCGAAATCTACTGCACAGGCCATTGGGCAGAACATGGCTTCTCTCATCATTGCTGAGAGACATCTATGGCTGACGTTATCTGAGATACCTGACTCGGAGCGCTCCATGTTCCTTGACGTGTCCATATCCCCAGCTGGCCTCTTTGGATCATCCGTCAAAGATTTTGCGTATATGAATGCTCACAACAAGGAAAATCCTTGTGCAGATTTGCCGGTTTACAACAAGGAAAAGGACGCGAGCTTCCTTTTCCCAGTCAGGGCAGTAGGGGTGGAGCCAAACCCGAATGCGGTATTCGGAAAGGCATAAATAACATTTTTTTTTTTTTTTTTTTTTTTTTTTTTTTTACGAACACTTATTTCAAACAAATACTTTAAAAAATATTTGTATCCGGGAACAAGAAAAGAAAAGGAAAAGGTGACTGTCACAGCTGCCCACACAGCAAAAAGAGGCCTCGGCTGAGCGAAAAAAAAAAAAAACACACTTAACTGCATCACTATTTTTGTTGAATAGATTTGTGTACCTTAAATGGGTTCCAGAGGCAATTTATAATTTTCTGGAAGCGGAGTTTGATCGGGAGATTATTCCATGTTCGCACATCAGAGGCGCCTGATTGATTGATTGAATATTTGATCGATTGATCGATCGATCAACAACGGGACAATTATAAAAAAGATGGGGGAATGGCACAAAAAATTACTTAAGCAAGATCAGTGACCAATTTCGAGCCAAGTTTTTCTTCCCCCAATAATGATATTTCGATGATATGTAGAATGACATTATAAAAATGAATGAGTTTAGAAAGTCTATTCACAATGTTCAATACATTTGCATGAGCATAATGCATTTATGCTGCGTTCATGTGCTATGGTAATTATGGTAAATACCAAAAGCTGACGTGGAAAATGCACACGAACACCCCCTCATGTGGTATTTTCCACTGGGCAACTCGTAGAATATTTTGATGGACAAGTTGCCGAGATGAGATAACCTTTGAACATTTCAAAATGGCACCGCAAGAGTCGTGAATGGTAAAAATATATTCTATTCATGATCTAGAAAATATATAGCATGTTATTTACCTTTTGAGTTTTGATAAATCATTTTCTTGCTTTTGCAGATGACTTAAGCAATCTAAAATAGTTTTAGCTAAATAACAGGTCTGGATCTCCATCTTTTTACCACATTACGACAACAAAAGCACTTGAATGCAACACACTGGTAAATACCAGTTCACAAGTGGAAAGTATACTATTTTCCATAGCACGTGAACGCAGCATTAATTCACATTAAAATTGATTTTATTGGTTGTTTAAAGAAAAAAAAAATAAGTTGACACTTCTATGAGTCTGTGCTTAAGAAAATCGAGATGTTGCAGATTTCGAACAGAGATGACGACAAAGAGAAAAAACTATTGACTGCAGCTTTAATAAGAGGATAGTTTACTGTATGAAGACTAATGACATACTATTTACTAATGACTAATTCAATAAAGTACATGTTTCATTACAAAATAAATAAGTATAATAATTGAAGTATAATTACTCAAGTACTGTACGAGTGTGTCACAGCTCCTCCTTTTTGTCTAGAATGAGCAGCAGAACAGAGAGGGGCATCACAAAGCCAGAGTTTCAGCAGTTGATTGATACCACTGACATTTCAAGATTTGTGATACCGTAGTAAAATCTATTATACTATATGATAAATAAATAAATAATGGTTAAATAGTATTATAAATTTGAACAAATTAAACTAAAAGTGTGAGGCCTTCAAGTATTGCACAATTAATGAAACATTATTCAACATTATTAAAGAAGTAAATGGCAAGATCAATGAGTGCTTTTCTCTTTTTCCTGTCAATACTGTTGTTTGATTAATGTTAATGCTATAATTCTGGTCTGGTATCATAATATATGTTTTGTTTTAGAATTGAGATGCTGCCAAAGTGCTGCATTGTGTCTTATGTCCTGCTAAGTGATGATTTAGGTATTTGATGCTATTAGAGTGCTTTGCAGTGCATTGACTTTGATAGACTAGTTCATTATGATTAAGTTGCAATGTCTATTTGGTGTAAATGGCTTGATTTCTTCACAGAGTGCATCAAGGCAGCATCAATTCTCTCAGGCCTGTTCCTCCACATGCATCAACAACTAACTGATTGTGCTTTGTTTTGACCACTTTAGGGAACTTTACTTTAGCGGAGCTGGGCATTTGTGAACCCTCCCCTCATCAGAATGCATACTGCCCTGAGATCGGCCTCTTGCAGCACGGTTACTCTCTGAGCGCCGGCTCCGACGCGGACTCTGACCCAGAGGGCCCTATCTCACCGGAGCGAGCCATCCAGCTGTGGGGGGGCCAAGGCATCAAGTCCCGCCGCAGTTCTGGCCTCTCCAGCCGGGAGAACTCGGCCCTCACCCTCACCGACTCCGACAATGAGAACAAGTCTGATGACGAATCAGGTGAGAGAATGTTTCAGAGAGCGAGAAAGCAGCGAGCGAGTTTCGTGTTTATGAGAAACTGAGGGTGTGAGAGAAATCTTTAAGGCTTTTAGAGTGTAAGATGTGTGAGAACAGATGCCAAAAATGTGCAACATGTGATAAAACATTCACTTGCTTTCGACTCGTTTAGATCTAAATGCATTTCGGATTCCTTTTGTATTACCTGGGTGTTATAGCCTGTCTGTGCATTGATAATCATTCCCAATGACACAAGCCACTTTTGTTCGTCAAACTGCAAGCGAATCTGCCACTGGAAATGCATATAAATAGAAATGCATACAAATTAAAATGTCAAAGGACTCATTTTCATCAAGCACAAACATTGTACTCCCCTTCCTTGTTCCATTGATGTCGTCGATGAATGAATCCTCATCGGCACCTTCCTAGCTGGAATTCTGCACCGTGTTCCTTGTTTCCACACTTCCTTGTTAATTTGGTGGCATCCTTAATCTTAGCATAGTTTGAAGAAAATGTCAGAGTAGGTTAATGAAAGACAAATCCCATCCTAATTAATTGAGTTCTCACCATATCACACCTCAAGCAGATCCATCAGCTGTGAATACCATTATCGCACAAACTCGCTCTGACAATTTATCAAACTACTCTTCAGCTATTAACCCTGTAAGACCTAAATATAGAAAAAAAAGAAGAAAAAAAATCACCTATCAGATGTTGTTGTGGGAGGCCTCTGATGCAAATAATGAAACAAAAAAATAATGTTTTTTTTTTGTTTGTTTGTTTTTTTTTTAAATGTTTGAGTACGTTTTTAAGGAAATGTTGTAATATTACAATGTTCAGCCTATTTGGGAGCAGAATTTCAGCATTTGCACTTACACTGTCAGAACAAATGTAGACAACAACTAAGGGCTTATTAGATGTATTGAAATACTAATATTAATATATATACTTAGTATAATACTAATATAATACTAATATATACTATTAGTAATATATTATAACAGTCATATTTTTATGAATTAGAATTTAAATATTAAAAACAAAACAGATTGAAAACTGTCAAAGAAACAGTGTCCATGCAGTGTTCACTTGCAATGGTAGTCCCAAAAGCAGTTCCTTTCCTCTAAAAAGCAGAAACGGAGATTGCACTTCCTGCAGAGTGTATTCAGATATACTTTTTTGCAGTTTCTGCAGCAACCTCTCATTCTGAAACACCTTGGAAAGCAGTCATCTTCATCTTGCCGGCTGATAATTGCCTCACAGATAATTGCCATGCTAATCTTTTGGCCATTGTTTTTTTACGATACCGAAAAACGTGTAGGCACAGCATGTGCCAGTCACTGGATCGCATGCCGGTCTGCTCCGACAGTAGTGAACGCGAGCTGGACACCGTCTCTCAGCTCTGCACCGTGTTCGTGTTTCATTTACACTGAAATCCCAATTACTGTAAACGTCGCCCAGGCCAGGCCTGATAATCTATGCAGGGTGTGTCACAGCGGAACCATCTATAATAAATAAAATAAGTAAAATACCTTTAAAATACTTTTTTAAAGCTTGTAATATGTTACCTTGTACCAACAGCAGTATTACTGAGATTCAATAAATATGTTTTTTGTTATATGTTATAGAGACTAAACATGCTACACATATGATTTTGGGTTAACCATAATATGCAAGTCATGTCTCAAACCCAAAATAGTTGAGAAGAGAGAATGAATGCCAAACCACATCAAAGAAAATTATGAAATGGAAAATTAGATGCATGTCAATACATTTATCACATGGTTATATATGTAGAAAATGTAGGATTAAAAGAAATATAGGGTTAAATTCTTCTTCTCAGCAAGAATTAAGAGAGTGTCACAACTCTCTGGAAATTCCATTGGGTTATAAAGCTTGTTATCAGTCTTAATGTCTCCTGTAACAGGACACCAGGTTCGACCAGTAGGCTTCATTTGTGAGGGAAGTGTTATAGAAAGTTTCATAAAGGTGTCGGAAAGTTCATCTAAGTCCCAGACATGTTGGCACCATTTTAGACTTAGATTGTCACCAGTCCTGTCTACATTCGCGAGTTCAGAGTTTAAAAGCTTTGGGATTTCAGAAGAAATGTGCATTATTTGTGTTCAGATGAACCATGATTTTGGTTCAATCCTTGGAAGGAGAGAGTTGGAATGTATGATTCATCCTGGTGCGACATGTTTTGTATGCTTCGGTCATGTGGTTCCATGTTCAGTGGCAAAATTGTTGATTTAGTCCAGTTTATTGAGTAGTCTGATATAATAGAATATTCATTGGTGAGTTTCAATATGTCTGTAAGTGATGTTTTAGGATTTTGTACAAATAGAAGTATGTCATCTGCATATAATGACATTTTTATGATCATTGTTGTAAATATAAATATGTCTAAATATAGTTTTGATGCTTTTTATAGGAGACCAAGCAATGATTTACATAAGACACTTTGTCCAATCCCATTTATACATGAATGTTGCTGAACTGGAAATAGCAAACCAATTTTACTTTTACCAGATACAGTATGCATTCAGTATGCTATTCCAAATAACGTACAATATTTTGTATTATTTCTACTATGTAAAGATAACAATTCAGTTTGATGCCTATAATATACATACATAGCATACATAATACTTTTACTAATGTTACAATATATATTTGAAATAATTAAGTTTAATATTCAGAATAACAGAAATAGAAGAATTCGATATCCTATTCCAAATATTATTTCTGCCATTTTAAGATAATTATACTCTTACCATTTCTGCCATACAAAGAAAATAATTCAGTATACAGGGTGTCCGCGGGGATCCACACGTTCTTAAAATGTTGCTTTTGGCTATATGGATTTTTTTTTTTTTTTTCTGTGTTGATGCTAACATGAAAAAAATAGATAAGGTGTGACTGATACCTCTGTGAGTCTGTGCTTGAGAAAAACAAGCTTTCTTGCTGTTGAACTGAATTAGAAGCGGGATATTGCTCTCAGTGAACATGTTCTCACAAGGAAGAAAGCATATGTTCAAAATAGAAGCAAGTAAATCTGTCATTTCTGTCTTTCCACTTCTAACACTCTTTGAAGCCCCTTATCTTTGCCCCTTTTTCTTTGACAATTGTTGTGCATGTTGATGCACTTCAATATCTTCCTCTCTCTCATCTTCCTTTTTTGCCCTGTTACATTATGGATGTGTCGGCAGCACCAATCACGTTGAAAGACAGGTGTCACTCACAGAGGGAGAGAGAATGGGGTCAGAAGGAAATTTTCATCCATTATCACCCTCCGTCCGCCTCTTACGTACTCTCTTAAATACTCTCCCTGATGTTAAGGCACCTTTCAAAGTCTGCCACCCGCTTTGACTAAAACCTCCATTTGTGCTTTTGAGATGTTGAGTCTAGACATGGGCTTACAGTCAATATCTGTTTGGGCAGAGAGTCAGAAGTTGTTAGGATAACAATAGCAGCCACTCTTCCAGGTTCTTCAGACAAGCAGCTTTTAACTAAGACTCATCAGTGCTGAAAAATGCAGTAAAGACAGCAAAATATTTCAAATGATAACATTTCAAAAATGTTTTCTATTTTAAGAGCTGAAATTTCAGCCATCACTCCAGTCTTCAGTTTTACATGATCCTTCTGAAATCATTCTAATATGCTGATTTGCTGCTCAAGAAACATTTATCATTTATTACCAATGTTGAAAACAGTTGTGCTGCTTAATAATTTCATTTCATGATACATTTTTTTTTTTCAGGATTCTTTAATGAATGTTCAAAAGGACAGCGTTCATTTGAAATAGCCTGTTATAATTTATAATTTTGAAGACATTAACTTTTAAACAATTTAATCCTTAAAAAAAGTATCTATTTCACTATTAACTTGTTGCTTGTAGTTTGTATTTTACTAGGATATTGGCTGCTTATTATTATTATTATTATTATTATTCAGCTTGACTATATTCTACATCCCTTAATCCAATTCCCCCTCAATACCTAAATGTAACAACTTTCGGTAACGCTTCCTTTTACAGTCCAGTTACCCATGTAAATACTATCTACTTATTTTAGTAACCACAATAGGCTATATGCACGCATCAGTTCCGCATTTGACGCAACAATGCTCTTCAGTTTCCGGTTCTCGGTATTGCATTGGACTCTACGATCGGCGGAAGTTATCGAGCATCCTTAGACCTTCACCGGAAATACTGCCATGCATAGAGCCCATTACTGGGTATAGCCTACTAACCCTAAACCTACCCCTGTTCCATGTACTTACCTTATATTAGCCAGTACTTTCTAGATAAGTACACTGTAAGTACTGTACTGTAAAAGGAAGCAGAGTTCATTAGGAATTTGTTATGGCAAAAGTCGTAGTTAATAGTGAGAATTTAACGCTAATCTAAAGTGTGACCAACATAAAAAACCCCTTTGAATGGTATACATCTTTCGAACTTAAATAAGCATTGTTTCAAAAATAATAGTATTTTTACGGTATTTTTCAAATTTATTAACAGCCGTATTACTACAATGGATATAAATACATAATTTGAGCAAATATCACATCACAAACAGCCATTTTGGGCTGTGGTGATATTGTCCCATTATGTCTTCAATATAGATCATATTCATACAAAATCATCACTTGCTGCATAAGCAGCTTAAATCAATAAAAGCAGCTTTTATTTCTCTAATTTAAAAATGCAAAGTAATACTGACTAACTGCTAGTTTGTCAGACAAGTTCCTAATACATAGTCTTAACATAATGGCTGTGTTTATGCAACGGGACAGTTGTCTTTTTAAAACAACCTAATATAATGTGATCACGGTCTGTGAAATAGCATAGTTGATATCAGATCCTAATTGCCTTTCGATCAATGAAGATCTTGTAGCATGTAGAACGTGTTTTAACAAACATACAGAGGACTTTTTGGTCAATTTCATCTAAAATAGCTGTTTTCTGGGTCGATATTAGATATATCACAGCCGATAATTTGTTT